CGGTCGAGAGGTCCTCGTATTTATTGGTAAGGGAAAGTCCTTGGGAAGGGCGAAGGCCTTTCCCGAAGATTTTCCGACCGGGGTGATCCGGGACCTATGGTCCGAAGCTGTGTCCCAACGTTTTTATTGTTTTATTGCGGTGTGTACGCCTTGCGTCGGGAGAACCCGAAAAAGGCATATGCACACCCCGCTTTTGAAGGACGTGTCTTTTTATGTCTGGTCCGCCACACCTTTATTGAGAGAAGGTATATGGGCGAAAACGATCGAGCGACCAAACTCTACTGAGAGTCCGGTAAGAAAAAACGCTTCTTTTATACCCTTCTTGGGTTCGTCTTATCCACCAATCAGAGACGTTTATTTGTCGCGTTTCACATTGTATACGCGACGCTGGGATCCCCAAACAGTCAGGGCACGATGTGTATCTAATGGTAACGGTGATGATGTATCGCGGTATCTATTATATACAGTTTACATCACCGTCGTTGCCCGCTGACGGAACCGACGAAAAAGTAAACCGATATCTTAGTATCTTAGTACTAAGTAAACTATAGATTAATTTTTGTTCGAGGCGCTAAAATTTCCTTTTTTTTCAACAGAAACTTTAAAATTTTGTGACACTTATATGCAATATAATAACCGATCTGAAATTGAACAACTAAACATTATTCGCGTTCTTAAAGTTGAAATGAAATTAAAAAAATAATACACCCCTCAATATCCTGGAATTTTAATAGTACATGTATTATCCGTAAGACAGTACATTTTGATATCGTATAAGCATTTTTCGTGAAAAGTTGCGATTTTCGTAGCTGTTTCACAAAATGTTCTAAAATTCCACGAGTTTCAAACGAAGTTTCAGTTTTCGAAGAACTTCTTTAAAAACGCGTCTACCGAAAATCCGCAATAAATCGATCATTTGTTTATACACATAGTTTTTGTATGCTCAAAAAAAAACGTACGACAATATTTATAATCGTGCCATACTGCGACAAATTCCGATGCAAATAAAAAGGCCCGCTTCGTTTCGTCCGTTCATCGCAAACAGAACGGAAACGATCGAATTTTGTCTAAAAAAAAAACGAGCCTTTCGGCGCACTGCGCGACAGGCGCTTCTTGCCAAGCTTTCCGCTCACGGCTATAGTCCTCGGTGAATCATGTTTCCCGAAAGGATTGGCACGCGCTCCTTCTCCACCGGCGCACGTCTATGAATAACACGCTGTCCGCCGATTGTGACACCCGCGGCGAAGTACGATACCCGTAATAACGCGCGTCAAAGCTCGAGACCGTTCCAGAAATCGAGTTCTGCCGGGCCGACGGGAATTGGGAAAGTTGGCAGGATCGATTTAACGAGGGAATGATCGAGTCTTCGGGACTCGCCGCGCCGGGGTGTCTTCCTGCGACGAGCACTCGCGTCGTTTCCAAGCGGCGAGCACGCTAAATTTCCCCTAATTTGCAGCTTTTATATCTCCATAATTCTCCTTATTTTTATGTAATCAAAAGTGGACAATTTGGGAAAAGCAGATACGATTACACGAGCGTTGCGCCTCGTTTTTATAATTGTTGGCGATCGGCAACTATAAAAATGAGCCGCGAGGCTCGAATAATCGTGTCTTCTCTGTTCCTGAATTGTCCATTTTTGTCTACAAGCTGAAGGAAAATTGGGGAGAATTTACTGCAGTTGCGAGACGAATGGTTCGCGATTTGCTTCTGGCATCGTTAACCCGTCCGCGGTTCATTTCCTTCGTGCAGCGCGTCGCTTTTTAATCGGTTTGTACATTTTTATCAGGTCGAGTCATAAATAACTTCCGATGCAGCTGGGTAGAATCTATTGTTCGTATCTACCCATTATGAGTCACCGGGACAAACGAGTTTTTGCTCTCGCTAAATAGATAAGGGTTCAAAAAGTAAATGAATTAAAAAAAAAAGCGAAAAGACAAATAACTAAGAGATAACTGAGATAANTATATATATATATATATATATATATATATATATATATATATAATATATATATAAGATATATATATATATATATATATATATAATAATAATATAATAATATAATATAGAAATAATAATAATAGTTATATAATAATATATATATATTTCTATATTATATTATATTATTATTATATATTATATTATGTTATTAATATTATATATATAATATTAATAACATAATATAATATAATAATATAATAATAATATAATATAGAAATATATATATATTTCTATATTATTATTATTATCTCTAACTATTATT